CTTAGGTCGGGCGTGTCCCCCTACAGGCGGATTTTGGACCCCCAGGACAAAAATCAAAAATGCTACGTTTGTTCTATCGCACAAAAACACAACAAAACATATTTAAAGCTCGCGACGGCTCCCGGGCCGGGAATCCTTTTCCTTCTGGGACGCCACAGGGCCAGGCATTATCTGGAGCCGATCGAGCGGAGAGGCGGCAGAGGCTGGGCGTGGAGCGCGCTGGCGCTCGTGAGAACCACCTGCGCTGCCCGCGCCCCTCAGATTTGGCGAGGAGGCGAGCCCGGGTGGCCACGGGAAAAACTAAGAGCCAAATTAAGAGAACGTCGGACCTCAGCCTCTGCTCAGCCCTCAGTTGTGAAAACTACCAGCTCGCGACGGCTCCTGGGCCAGGAATCCTTTCCCTTCTGGGACACCACAGGGCCAGGCATTATCTGGAGCCGATCGGGCGCTCGTGAGAACCACCTGCGCGGCCCGCACCCGACCCCGAAGGTACAAGTGGCCGCAGGCCGTGCACACAACCACATGATCATTTCATAGCAAGAGACAGGAGGGCAAGACCAGGCTGCACGCGCATCGCATCAATGATGCATCGAGTGGCGGCCTGAGCGAGAGGGCGAGGGTACTCTGCGGCAACCGCGGTGCGCTTTCGCCCCTGCGCGTCGTTGCCCTCTAAAATCACATGATGATTGCCTGTTCTGCTGCAGATGCCTCTCTTACCCTTGCACGGACGTTCCAGCGAGAGCGTGGGGCTGGCGCCCCAAGACATGATGGTGGTAGCTTTCTTATACGCTGCCCCAAACTGGCACTGGTGCAATACTGGTTTATGGCAACAAGACCTGCGACAAAGACGAGCGAGCTGAGGGCGCGACCATCTGCGAGGTCTGAGGATTCTCGAGAAAGACAGAAATCCGGGCGGCGAAGCAAGCACAAACTATCGTGATAGTCACACGCACTGCGGCACTCCCGGCAGCAATTCGGGCCTGCTCTGCCTCTAGGAGGCCGGGTAGCCCAAGCGGATGGCTGTCAGACCTGAGCGGGCGCCGCAAGGCGCGCGTCCAGCCGGTGCACGGGGTGCCCAGCCAGACAGCGCCGACGGCACGAGATCGGATCCAGCCAACGACGGTGGCGACGAATGCTGGTAGCACGTGGTTCTCCAGCGGGCTGCGCTGCCAGTCAGGTCCGAAGGCAGCGAGGCCGCAGGCGAGCACCGCCTTGGCATTCGCGCCGGCCCCGCAGAAGAGCTCCAGGACAAGGCGACGCCGCAGGGGCCGGCCAGGCGCTGCTGCGCGCCAGAACTGCCACTGCAAATGCCGCCTCACCGCGTCCGCTGGCGGGCCGCCCTCGCCGGGGCGAGCAGCGCTTCCGCTGGCCGCTTGAGGGCCGCCCGCCCTCCCGAGCGACCGCGCTGGGAGGCGGGCGCCGGCGCCCTGAGCATAGCTGCGACGGCGGCCGGGACGCGGCCAGTCGCCAGCCAGCTGGGCAGGCAGCCGCTGACCCGCGCCGCGAGGTTGCTCTGCTCTCGACAAAGGCCCTGAGCTCCATGACTTCTGGCGGGATCCCCCCGGTGTAGCGGTTCAGGCTCTTGGTGGTCCGCCAGCGCCCGCGCCGCTGAGCCTCGGCCATCTGACGCCTCTGGGAGAGCATGTCGTTCGAGGCCCCCCCACGGCGCAAGCTGCACAGGTGGGGGCGAAGGCGATCCAGCGACAGCCGCCGACGCGCGCGGCTGAACAGCGCGCCGAGGCGACTCACCTCCTGCCCCCACAGCGGCTCCGATGGCGCAGTGGACAGCTTCAGAGCCTGCAGCAGAGGAGTGAGCAAGGCTCGCGGTCGAACAAGATGCTCTCGTCGCTTACGCCCGTCCTGCCTGGCTCCTGTCCGCTCTCGTGCAGGAGCAGCCCGAAGAACTGGTAGCCTGGGCCCGCCGCCTCGGACGGCGCGACGAGGTGGCGACCGTAGAGCTTCGCCGCCCCCCAAGGCCTGAGGCACGAGGCAAACATGACGAGGACGCAGAAAGCCAGCCTGGGGAAGCCGTCGTGGATCAGGAAGCCGGCCCAGGAGAACGCAACGCGGCGCGGCAGCGGCAGTCGGGCACGCGCCGGCGCGCGCCGCGACCATGCCGCCCTCGCCAACAGCACGGGGGTCCGCATGTGGAAGGACCCGAGGAAGGGCGCCGCTGCCGCCACGAGAACGTTCCCCTGGTTGCCGCCGCCGCCGCGGAGGAACCCGTTGTCCATGAACTCCACCAGCGCCTGGCCCAGGCTCGCATGGCTCGTCCAATCCAGGCGGCGCCCGGCACAATACGCCACGAAACTGGCCAGCGCTCCCCGGTAGGGCCGCGCCGTCGAGCTCCTCACCGCCAGCCGCTCCAGCAGCGAAAGGCCCGCCACCGCTGCCGTCTCCGCCGCGAGCTCCCGCGCATGACGCGCCCGCTCGGTACGGAGAGCGGACGGCACTGGCGCGACCAGCCGCCGAGCCCCCGCCGCAATCTGGGACAAAGCCAGCAGCGACACGAGCAGCCGCATGCGCCAGCAGCCCGCCTCCAGGGGGCCGCGGGGCCGCCCGGCTGCCCGAGAACCAGCCAGCGCGCCCACGGCTGCGCGCGTCTGCGGGGTTGGACTCGGAGGGGGCCCACCGCACTGAGAAGGTTGAGCCAGCGGCCACGGAGAGCGCGCAGACCTTTCGAAGCGTGCTCTGCAGATGCCTGCTGCGGGCCCGGCCCTTACCCACGGACAAGACCAACGGCAGGCTGTCGGACAGGATTAAGAAGCGGGACCCGAACGCAGATGTGGACCGAAGGAGGTGCCGATACCCGAGCACGAGAGTTCCCCCCTCGAGGGCCCAGATGTTGGCCCTCCCGTCGACGCACACCGCGGCAACCGAGCCCCAGGCTGAACCCCGAACGAAGTGAGCAGGAACCTCATCGAAGTCCACGGCAGGTCGCATGTCCAGGATCGACTTGTCGGCATCCCCGGGAGGCCCTGGCGACTGCAGCTCCAACGGGCCCACGCGGGCCCCGCCCTGGACGTCCGCGAACGACGAGTAGTCATCGATCCCATCACCAGATACACGAGCGTCATCCCCGAGATCAGCGACGACGCCCCCGAGTCCCCGAGCGGCACGGACGAAATATCGAGGTTGAGCCCGACCGTCCTACTCCTTGCCTGAGCCCCGCCCTCGACCTTGTACCTCCACTTTTCGGCGACTCTCCCGATGGCGCCCACGAGGTCCTGCGGGGCGCGGCGAGCAACGACGCCCAGTCCGAATGGCGAGGCGTCCGCGCAAGCAACCCGCCAATGCCACGCGGCGCCAAGGTCCGCCTTGCACGGCGGCAGCAGGTCGTGAATAAGCTGGAGCTCGTGCCGGACGGTGGGCCAGAGCGGGGCAGCCGTTGGCCCGGCGGCCTCGATGTAGGCGTAGGTCGCCCCAAGGATGCACAGCAGCTCCCTCCGCGGCAGCAGCGCCCATGTGATGTGGCCCGTCAGCACGCGGAGCAGGAGGCCGCTGATGACCTGCCTCCGGAGCGACGCGCGGATGGCGGCGCGCAACCTCCAGATATTGCGGGCCCCGAGGCTGAGCCAGCGCCCCTCGCGCAACGACAGCCCCAAGAAGTCGCGGTCCTGAGAAGGCGCCTCGAGCTCGTGCACAGCGAGCCCGTGGCGCATCAAATCGTCCGCGACGGCCTGCAGCCGCTCGCTCACCGTCTTTGGGGGGCCGCCGAGAACGAAGTAGTTGTCCACGTAACCGGCGCCCACGACAGAGTCAGGGTCGTCGGTGAGCTGGCAGCCGCATTGGCCGTCGAGGATCAGGTCGCTCGGCGAGAAGCCAGCGCGACCCAGAGAGGTCTGAAGCACCGCCTGGCACAGGTGCAAAGCCCAGCTGAACCCCATCGGCAGCACCACCACCTGAGGCAGCAAGAGTGACTCGCCGTCCACCCCCGCCACTGTGATCCCGTGCGGCGCGAGATACTTGGCGGGGATTGGCGGCAACGTGAAATACTCCTCCATGCCGTCAGGGACCCGCATGTGGTAGAAGGCCATGTCGAGGTCCGCCGAAGCGATGGAGAACCGAACGTCGCCCGCCTCGAGCCGCCCCCAGGCCGACGCCGACGGCAGCTGGGTGCGACGCGCGTCAATAAACGCGCGCGCGTCGAAGATGATTCTGAGCTGACCACTCTTCTTTGGCACGAAAAATATCCCCACGTTGCCCAGACGCCCTCGCGAAGGGGAAAAAGTGAGCATGCTGCGCTCCACCACTGGTCTGAGGAAAGCAGCGTAGTCCAGCGGCGAGCGGAGCAAAGCAGGATCCGCGCACGGGCCCTGCGGGCAGGCCTCCGCCCGAAGCTGCCGCGCCTCCTCGGGCCCACGAAGCATTTGGCACCTCCACTCCCGCAGCGCGGCGGAGTCTCGCCCGCCCAGCAGCCCAAGGAGCGGCGCGGGAGGCTGCGACACGTCCGGCCAGGAGACGAGGTCTGGCACGTAGGGAGTGGTAGGCCCGCCGCCGTCAGGGTGCAGCGCGGGCCCAGCAAGAAGCTCCCGGAAGGCCCCGTTGGGGTCTGAGACGTCGTCACGATACGCATCCGGCTCAGGGCCGAGGGCGACGATAGAGTCCCAGATGCGAGCGGCGTCACAGCGCTGCCCGGCAGACGGCGTCGGCGCGGGCGAGGACTGGTCGCCGTAGAGGTAATTCAGGGCATGCACGGCGGCGTCGGCACGGCCGAGCGCGCGCGAGAAGGCGTGACAGGCTCGAACCCGCCGCCGAGTCCCCCACGAGCCAGGCGCCACGTACGCAGCAGCCAGCAGCGGCAGAGGGAGGAGGTCTCGATTTCGGTCCTCACCCAGTCGGTGCCCAGCGTCGCCAGGGGAGCGGGCCGCACTGGCGACGGGACCCGCGATGGCCGAGTGGGGCAGGGGCGGCGGCTGGCCGGGCCATCCGCCCCGGGGCAGGTCAGGCATTGGCCCCGGCGGCGTTGGGCCCTGGCGGCGTTGGGCGAGCCGCCCCAGCCGCCGCGGCCGCCCCGTCGCCCCCTCCCGCGTCGCTCCTCGCGCGCCTTCCTCCGCTCCTTCGCCGCCGCCATCACCCGCTGCAGCGCCTCCTGCACCTGAACCGAACGAGCCGCGAGCTCCAGGTGCCCCAAGTTCGCGGCGCGCACCGGGTCGTAGGCGACGGCCGGCTCAACAACCATGCACCCCATCTGGTGGATCTCCACGCCAGGGGACTCTGGGCCGAGCCCAATCTCGGCCAGCCACCGCTGGTGATGAGCAGTCGGAGTCCCTGACCGCTGCGCCATATACTGCATCACCCTCAGCAGCGTGCGAGGCCCGCACACTGGCCAGTCAGGCCATGGAAGCCCGACCATCAGTGCCACCATGCTGCGGAAGTCCGCGTGCAACACACCTCGCACATCCCTCACGATGGCGAAGATGTGGGCGTCGCCGCCGGGGCTGGCGGGCGGCGGCCCCGCCCTCAGGCCCGCGGGCGCGGGCCTCTCGGCGAGGGGGCCAGCGGCGGGGACAGCGGCAGCCCCCGGCACGGCCGGCGCCTCGGCAAGCGCGGCGGGACTTGCAGGTGCCACGAGAGCCCCCTCGGCCCCTGGAGCGGCAGGGGCGCTGGCGGCAGCAGCCGCGGCTGGAGCTGGCGCTGGCGCGAGCGCGCCTCCAGCGGCACCGCCAGCCTGACCCCCGAGCGCGGCCACGAGGGCGCCGAGGCCGCCCGCCTCAGGGCCAAGGGCAACGCCAGGCAGCGCGGCCGGGACAGCCGCCGCCGTCGCCGCGGGCGCGGCCGCGGCGGCCACCCTGCCCGCAACGTAAGGCACCACGGGTCCGGCAGGCGCCGCCACGCCCTGGCGGGCGCAGGCACGGCCAGCTGCGGCCGTCAGCGCGGCTGCCGTGGGGATGGCCCTGAATCGGTAGTACCACGCCGCCGGCGCCCATGGGAAAACCCCGCCAGGTGACCCACCCGGCAGCACGTCCCAGTGGCGCACGTCCGCCGTGCTGCGGAACTGCTCCTCGTACGTGTCGCCATCCACCGTGATGATCGAGGCGGTGTCGGGGGTGGTGGGGTTCAAGGCCACGACGATGCGCTCGTGGATGAGTGCCCTCCCCGCGACGCTGTACTGCACCCCGACGAAGTCCCCGACCGCCACGCCCGCCGCCGCGAGCGAGAGATGCGCCGGAGGACCAGGCGCCGCCATCACTGCAAGGCGGAGGTGCGCTCACGAAGCGCCCTCACCTGCGCGCGGGCCTCCTCGCCCAACTCGTCTGGCTCGAGCTGGACAGCGGACGAGCCAGCGTGATGGCCACGGAGGCGGAAGACCACCCAGCCGCCCGCAGCGCCGGCGGAGGCGCCAGCGAGGGTCACGCCCACCACGTAGGACACCAGCCCGGCTGTGGAGGGGCCAGCCTGGGCGTCACCCCGCGGCCCCGAGCAGTCACAGTGCAGGTCGGGGCGCTGCAGGGTGGGCTCGCAGGTGCACGCTGGACAGACGGCTGGGTCGCCACGCGCCGCCCAGACGGCGATGCCCGTGCCAAGGCTGCGCCCCAGTTCCGGCACCAGCGCGCTGAGGGCGGAGATCACGGGCGCCGTGCGCTGGGGCCCAAAAAACTAAGAGCCAAATTATGAGTACGTCGGACCTCAGCCTCTGCTCAGCCCTCAGTTGTGAAAATTACCATATAGAAAAATACGTTTATATACATATACATATCTATATATGTAAATATATAAACATATATATACACATATATACATATATACATATATACATATATACATATATACCAATATACATATATACATAATTATATATATAAAGCAGGTATTTCTACTATTCCCACCCCCAAAAAAAATCCCCTGACTGTTTGCTATTTCTGAATACTCCTCCGTAGAGGGACACGCCCGGCTTAACCCCCACTGGGGACGCACCGAAGCGCGCGCACCCCCGCGGCGGCCCGGCCCCGGCGGCCCGGCCCCGGCGGCGGCCGGGGAGTCCGGACTGCTTGTCGTACACGGCGTCCTCGGCCCAGTGCCCCTGCTCACAGCGCGGCCTGGGCCGCGGCCGCGCGCGGCCCGCGCACCAGGTTGGCGGATTGTTCGGATTTTTCAGGCGGATGTTCACCGGATTCTGCGGATTTTTGTGTCGAACTGGGATCGAACTGGGGTCGAACTAGAGCCGAACAGATCCGCCAGGTGGGCCCCAGGAGGGCCCCCGAAACGAGCAACGAAGCACCCAAATCTTAGATCTGGCATGTCCCCCTACATGCGGATTTTGCGGCGAAAAATAAAAAGTTGTCCAAAAATATTCAAAAATCGTCACACACACACACAAAAAAAAAAAGAGTTGCCCAAAAATGTTAAAGAGTAATCAAAAATAGTATTAAAAAAATCGTCCCCTGACTCTGGCCGCCCCCAGACTAGGAGGGCAGAAAATCCAGCGCCATCAAGATCACCCCGACAGGCGAAGCCGCTCAGTGAACGCGCCCAAGGAAGGAACCGAACAAGGCAGGGCTGTTTAGCAAGCGCCCGGGGCCGTTTCGTAAGCGCCACTTGTCGGGGCCCGGGTGGCTTCTCCTCCCCTGACAGCAGCTGCATCGCCGACGTCGCCGATGGCGCCGCCGATGCACCTGCGATGCGGCGCGACCCTCCGACTCCATGCCACAGGCATCCCGCGTCTCAACAAAAATCGCGCCCGCGCTCTCCAGCGGGCGCCGAGGCCGGCGCAAAGGGGGTATGGGGAGGAGGAGGGGGAGGAGGAGGGGGAGGAGGAGGAGGAGGAGGAGGAGGAGGAGGAGGAGGAGGAGGAGGAGGAGGAGGAGGAGGAGGAGGAGGAGGAGAGAGGAGGAAGGAGGAGGAGGAGGAGTGAGGAGGAGGAGAGGAGGGAGGAGGAGGAGGAGGAAGAGGAGGAGGAGGAGGAGGAGGAGGAGGAGGAGGAGGAGGAGGAGGGGCTCCCGAGAGGGCCTCGGGGCCGTCGACGAGGCAGCGCCGGGGCCGGGGCAGCGGTCTCGAGAGCTCCGAGGCCGGCGCCTCGGGGAGAGAGCGGGGCGCCGGGTGTCTGGGTCTGGCAGGTCGGGCGGAGGGGAGGGGGAGAAAAGGGGAAAAGGGGGGTGTACGGCATCTGCTGCGTGCAACTCGTTTCGGCTCTGCCGTCGGGCGCCTGTCCTCGATACGCGGGCGCCTCGCGGCGCCGGAAGGCGCTGGAGAAGACGGCCACGTTGGCTGGTTCGCTAGTCCGACCCGACCGCATTCAGTCGGACCCCGCTTGGGGGGCCCCCACCTCGTCCAGTCTTCCCGTCGAGACAGAATCACGACGGACGGTTTGGTTTCTTCGTTCTCTGGGGGCCCTCACGAGGCCCGTAAACCGACAGAACATAACTCCGGATGGGAAGCGGGTCCGGGGGAAGGCATCCTGATCTCTAGGTCAACGCTGTTCAAAATATGTTTTTTTTTAAAAAACAACAAAAAAAAAAAAAAAAAAAAAAAAAAAAAAAAAAAAAAAAAAAAAAAAAAAAAAAAAACACGTCGAAGTTCTGGGGAGGTGCCGCCAGCGTGGATGAAAACCGGTCTCCTCGTCGAGCCGCATCGCCGACGCATCGGCGACGCATCGGCGCGGTCCTCCCACCCCATCGAGTCAGACCTCACCTGGGAGGTCTGGACACGAGGCCCGCGCATTCCAGGGAGCTGCAGCTGGACACTCTTCTCGTCGGCGGCGGGGCAGAGTTGGCTGCACCAGCGAAGCAAGCTCAGCAGGTGCACTGGAAAGCGAACTGTCCAGCGTGCACGAGCCTGCAGCTACACACATACACACGCACATCTTGCCCTCGCGGAAAAAGTCCCGGCGGATGCTTGTTGGCCACTTTCGATCTTCGGGGGCCCTCGCCGGGCCCTTTGGGCCGTCAGAAACGACTCGGGGCGAAGAGCCAGTCCCAGGGAAGGGCTTCATAGTTACCTCTACAGAGCTCGTGGGCAAGAACGCGATACCGGATGTCTGGGACGCTGCAGGCACACGCACACCACCACACCAATCCCCCCAGAGATCTTGATTCTGGCCAGAAGTCCCCAGAAGTCTCGGCCCTTGCCCCCGGGAACGACTTCTCATCCCTGGCCGCTCTTTTCTGGCGGTCCTGGGGCCCAGCGAGGACCCTCAGGGGCCGAGCGAGGTGCCCGAAACTCGGTCGGGAATGTGTCGGAGCCGTGCCTCGGCCCCGGCATCGTGCGTGGAGCCTCAGGGTCTCTGCCGGGCGGGCCCGCGCACCCTCACAAGGGCCCAGGATCGCCCTGGCCAGGGCTGGCGGTGCGTTGCACAGCTGCCTTCTGCGGACCGGTGCTGCTGCTCATCAGGTCCAGACCTCCACGGTACGGTCAATTCGAAGGTTTTGACCCGGGAACTCAATTCCTCCTCCTCCTCCTCCTCCTCCTCCCCCTCCTCCTCCGCCTTCTCCTCCTCCTCATCCTCCTCCTTCTCCTCCTCCTCCTCCTCCTCCAGCCCTCGGGTGGGGAAGCCGGGAAGTCAATTCGAAGGTTTTTGCCGTGTGCGGCCTCCGAGGGCCTTCGCTGAGTCCCCTGGGGCAATCAGAACACGACGCGGGATGAAGAACTGGACCAGGGGAAAGGGTCGGGACTTACAGTCAAAAACCCTAATAAGGACACGCGGTAAGGACGCAAGACCCTTGGAAGCCGAAGTTGGGATTTGTGGGGCGGCGGACGACAAAAACCTCAAGGACGCAAGAGCAAGGAAGAGCAAGGACGCAAGGGTACCCTGAGCGAAGTCGCGCGTCCTTATCAGGGTTTTTGACTGTAAAGGGACCGCGCATTGAAAAACAAAAAAATGCATCGGATATGTGGGAAGTTTGGCTGGTCCTTCGCATCACTTGTGGCCAGATGTTTGCGATTGTGCCTGCCTTCATGGTGATGGTAGGGCCTGGTAGGGAATCCTCAGGATGAACTGAAACACGTGCACCTCTTGATTTGCGCTGATGCAGTTGACTTGTGCCGAGTTGATGTGTGCTGATGTGGGTGGGAGTGAGCCCAGTTGATCTGCGTTTCACTGGGTTGGGTTTGGCCAGGCAGGACAGATTTCAATTGATTGGGATCAGTCGCCTTGAGAGGTACAGCGGGAGCAGCTAGGTGAGCAGGATCAAGAGGATGAAGAGAAGGGCTCAAGCTGGGACTGGGTTTCAGAGCAGTGTGAGCGGCTAATGCTGGGGCTGCTGCCAGAGCTGGGGCTGGGCCTGGGACCAAGGCTGGGACTGAGATCGCAACGTGGCCCGTCCTGCAAGAAAGACCCGGAGAACTCTTCGATGGATTAGCACGGCGGTGAAGACGTGCGCCCGCGCGCAACTTTCGACAGACAACACCAGCAAGTCCCAAAGTGCGTACGCCTGAGATCCATGGGGCACTGCAAGCATCCTGACTTGAATATGGAATGACACTCTACGGGCAGACGCCGTCGCGGCCTCAATGTGCAACCGAACTCGTAACACCAAGTCACGCAAGCAGGCATGCCGTTCACTGGAAATGTAACCTTTTTCTGTCAGATCTGAATGGAGATGCTAAAGATCGAGAACGACACGCACTCCGCGCAATAGTTTCAGACCCTGTTGCGGCTATGCGTCCGCGGAAGCTTCAAAGAAGAAGACAAGCACGAGGAGGAAGGAATATAATGGAGCAGCAGACATAGCCCTATAGTTCTATAGCCCTATAGCTCAATAGCCCTATAGCCCTATAGCCCCCTAGCCCTACAGCCCTGATTGGGGCTTTTCTCCGGTATCATATATTTATATAGACAGAGAGTCGGGGGGAGAGAAAGGGAAAGAGAGGGTTGTGTGTACTTATATATATATATATATATATATATATATATATAGATGTCGAGAGAGAGAGAGATGCAGATAACACATAATTATCCTGGCGAAGGACCCAACCATATCCAGCTGTGGGCACCGTCGTTGTGTGCACCGCACTCGGTAGAGCTCCCTATGGGTCCACGAAGCGTGTGAGGGGGTGTGCCAAAATTGGCGCGATGGGCGCATGCGAGCGCTAGCATGTGGGCCTTCGGTAGAGCTCCCCATGGCCACGAAACGTTTGAGGGGTGTGCCAAAATGGACGCGGCGAACGCATGCGAGCGCTGGCATCTGGACCTTCGGTGGAGCTTCGTATGGGGCCACGAAACGCATGAGGGGTGTGCCAAAATGGATGCGGTGGGCGCATGCGAGCGCTGGCATCTGGGCCTCCGGTGGAGCTCCCTATAAGGCCACGAAACGCGTGAGGGGGGGCGAAATGGGTGCGGTGGGCGCATGCGAGCGCTGGCATCTGGGCCTTCGGTGGAGCTCCCTGTGAGGCCAGGAAGCGTTTGAGGGGTGTGCCTGAATGGGCGCGGTGGGTGCATGCGAGCGCTGGCATCCGGGCCTTCGGTGGAGCTCCCTATGATGCAATGAAACAAACGTGTGAGTGGTGTGCCTGAATGGGCGCGGTGGGTGCATGCGAGTGCTGGCATCTGGGCCTTCGGTGGAGCTCCCGATGGGGCCATGAAACGTGTGAGGGATGTGACGGTGTGTGGGGTGGAACAACCGCATGCGAACCTTGTCTCCGGGCGCCTTCGGTGGAACACTCTTAAGGGTCCATGAAACGTGTGAGGGGTGTGCCAAAGTGGAGGGGGGCGACATGCGAATCATGCCACTGGGGCCTTCGGTGGAGCTCTGTTTGGGGCCACGAAACGTGCACAAAGGTGCCAAAGTGGAGGGGGGCGGCATGCGAATCATGCCACTGGGGCCTTCGGTTGAGTCCACTATGGATGGGGCCGCGAAACGTGTGAGGGGTGTGCCAAAGTGGGAGGGGGGGCGGGAGGAGGGGGAGGGGGAGGGGAGGGGGAGGGGGAGGAGGAGGGGAGGAGGAGAGGAGGAGGAGGAGGAGGAGGAGGAGAGGAGGAGGAGAAGGGAGGAGGAGGAGGAGGAGGAGGAGGAGGAGAGAGGTGGAGACGCGTGGTCTTTCCCTCTCTCTCTCTCTCTCTTTAAAACGATGGCCCGACTCAACACAGGATGGCTGGAACCAAGCACAACAAAGATAGATAGAGATAGCGGGCGGGCCGACTGCACTCGGGCTCCCCAGCGTTGCAACAACGTTCGCCAGGGTACTCGAACACCGCGCACTTGTTGTCCCGCTGGCTGACCTGGCAGCAGCCTCCCGCGGGGGAGGGGCGCGGGAGCGGAAGAGCGCAGGCGAGAGAGGGTCAGGGAGGGCCAGGGTCGGTGGCCAGCATGACTTGCAGGAGCAGCCGAACACACAAAAGAACTGCTGGAGCGGGGGGCGCCCACCCCCTGGTACATCACCGAAGCCTCGGCGGGAGCCTTCCCGAAAGATCGCTGCCACCTCAACTATCCGCTGGACGTCCGAGATCTGTCCCAAACTGGCCGCAAAGAGCACGCTCTCTGCGGGGCCGGGCTGTTTTTGCGGGGGCAGCACCTGACCCCAATTGGGGGGGGGCACGAAGACACACCCAGCCAGGCGCTGACTTAGCGCGACGTGTCCAAAGGCGCTCATGTCCCGCCCCGTCCCGCTGAAACCCGAATGCTGGCACAGCGTGGATGCGCCTGCGCCCGTCCCCTGACTGAAACATGTTTACCTCAGCAAGACGCAGGATTCGAGACCGTCGTCACTTTACGATTCGCGTCGGTGCATAGCCACAAGCGTCCTTGAGTGTATGTTCACTGGCGTCCAGTCGCCGTTTAGCAGCCATGAGTTGCCTCCAGCTGCCTTTAGCAGCCTTTTGTGGTCTTCAGAAGCCTTTAGTAGCCTCTGCAGAAGTGCAAACATGTGTATTATGTGTGCTGAAATGGGCTTCCCAGAAGATCCAGCTCAAACAAATACATCAATACTCCTGCTGTCAGCGTCCCGTCTTCCCTTCTCTCCTAACCCCACAACTCATTATTCTCTGGGTAACCAGCTCATAAGGCACGCATTCCATCCATCGCTGGCCACTCGCTCCGCATTCAGGCAGCTGTCGTCCTACCTTCCAGGTTGAGGGACATCCAACCTTCGGGGCCTTTGCTTTAGGAATGAAAAAACGCCCCTACCATGGGTTACAAGTCCGTGGTCAGTAAACCTCCTGGGAACTCCCACCGGCCAGAGAGCCGCCAGGACGCCGCGCGGCACGCGCGATACGCAGGGTTTACCCTGTCAGCCCACAGGAGGTTCAGCGCACAGCGCCTCATAAACCAAGGTAGAGGCGTTTTTTACGCAGTTGATTTCCAGCGATCGGTGGTCATCCAACCCATCAGAGGCTATGGGGCCCTGCCAGCCACTGCCACGACCGAGCACGCCGCCACAGCGCAGCAACCCTTTGACGCATAAGCTGATAGCAGTCTTTACCTACATCTGCCAGAAGACACGCACACCATCAACACACAAGGGAGGCATCCTTGATGTCACAACGAGCATGCTCGCAACCAACTTACCGATCTGTTTGGCCGCATGTGTCTCACTTAGGCCAAGGGGGACGGTGCATGTAGCTGAGGGGAACCGGGCGGCGAATCTCACGCACCGAACAGTTGGCACGTTCCCACACCAGTGCAAGGCGAGAACAAACAGCTCTCAACCACTGCGCTCGCTAGCAACCTGGCACGAAGAAAATCAACCTTCCGCCACTGCAACCGTTGTCCTCCACTTGCCTCACCTCCGACGGAATGTTGTCTGGTAGATGTTGCCGGCGACCAGGCTCAACATAGCGCCCCGACCTGAGAGCAAGTGCCCCACACCAGGGTGATCTTAGGAGCGTGCCCACAAGCAGGTACCTCGCAGCAGCCTCGAGCCCCAGTCACCCTGGCCCTGATACATGCCACAGCTTCAGCTAGTGGACAGCACCCGCCTTGCCATTCTCGGGACGGGCTTCACGCGGCCACTATGCCCACGCCAGTGTCCATCAGTCGCACTGCCCTCCTTGACCACCGTTCTCGCAGCCAGGAAGCAGCGAGATGCCATGAGTTCCAGCCATGCTCCACGGCCTGACCCATTTGCCAGCATCATTCTTCTAGCGGCCTCTAGCGCCACCAGAGCGCGAGGTCCTGCTTGAATCCACTGCGGCCTGGGACGCCACGGATAAAGGAAGGATAAACACACTGTGGCCCTGCTCCCAGAGCGCGCCCACTGCACCAAGGGCACCAACTTCCTCCAGCATGACGGCTGCATCAGCCCCCCTTCCTCACGGCGCCACAGTAGCCCTGTGGCAGCGCCAGCGAAGTGCTCGCAGGCAGCAAACGTGTACCCTCACTCCTGCGCCGCAGCTCACTCTGTCGCCCACGTGTACACTGCCTGCCGTCCGCCCCCGAACAGTGCGTCGGGCAAGCCACGACCCACGGCGCATCTCAAGCGGCCCGCAAACGCACCTCTCCCAAGTACTATAAAAGCGCCCCCTTCTTCGACAACCGAAGCAGGGACGTTATCAAGCATGTTCGCGGCCTCCCTGAGTGAGGCCGAAGCTGATGGCATCGTCACGACACACCAAGGCATAACTTTAGGTCAGGTATGTCCCCCGACAGGCGGATTTTGGACGACAAATAAAAAATACCCACACACACACACACACACACACAAACAAAAAAAAAAAAAAAATGCTGAATATTCCTCCTGTAGAGGGACAGGCCCGACTTAAGCATAACTGCGGGCCCCTCGCGGAGAAACCACAAGGTACCGATACCGCTGCTCCCCGGACCTCTCCTGGGGTGCGTTCTGACCAAAATTTCGAGGCGAATCCAGCAGTGGCGACAAGGGCCTCCCAGGAGGCCTCAAAAGGCAAGAACGAAGGAAGAGTATCGCTATGTCGGGCATGTCCCCCTACAGGCGGATTTTGGAAGAAAAATTAAGAATGCCCCAAAAATACCCAAAATGTTCAAAAATAGCAAGCAAAAAAAAAAAAAAAACGTCCCCATACTATTTTCAAAACGATGTTTGAACACTCCTCCTGTAGAGGGACAGGCCCGACTTAAGAGCAGCGGTATGAACACCTTCCCCTCCTGTGGATAGCTGCGGGCCCCCTGACAATAAGCACAGCTCCATCCAGCGCGGAATATCCGCAGGCCCTGCCGTCAGTCCGAGGGCTCCTCCTCCTGGCTCCTCCTCCTCCTCCTCCTCCTCCTCCTCCTCCTCCTCCTTCTCCTCCTCCTCCTCCTCCTCCTCCTCCTCGCCAGATCTTCTCCCCGCGATGGCGCGCCGAGAGGCCCTCCCCGCCTCTGCCTCTGCTTCCCGCAGGCGGATCTCTCGAGCCCTCCGCCGCCTCGCGGGCGGTGCGCGCGGCGAGCAGGAGCACGGCAGAGCCACGGGGAGAGCGCGGCACTGCTCCGCCTCGATGCTCCTCGACGGCCCAAGACGCCCCCTCCACGCCGCTGTGGCTCGACGCCGAGGAGGGGGGCGCCTCCGCCCACGGGGGGGAGCCCCCCCCCCCCCTCCTCGACGTCGATCGAGGAGGGCGGGGCTCCCCCCTCCTCGATCGACGCCTGCGAGGAGGGGGGCGCCCCAGCTGTGGCTCTGCGGCGTGCCTGCGCGCAGCGCACACCGCCAGAGGCGGCGGAGAGCTCGAGAGAGGTCCGCCTGCAAAAAAAAACCTCTCCGCCGGGCTGCTCCGGCTTTGCTGGGGCGGCGCGCGGAGCGGCGAGAGCGCGTGTCAGAGGAGGACGAGGCACCGATCGGGCGAGTGGCAATGGGGGGTGGCCCGAGTGGGGGGCGAAGGAAAGGGCCCGAGGTGGTCCCTTTGGGGCCCCTTTTGGTGAGCCCTGTTAGCGCCAAAAGGGGCCCCAAAGGGCCCCCTTGGGGCCCTTTTCTTCACCCGAAGTTTGGGCCAACCCCTACTACCACCCGCCCGAACCGATACCGCTGCCCTTCGCCTGGCTTCCCCCTTGTTCGGCCCCCTGGGAGGCCCTCGTGGCCACCGCTGGATTCGCCTCCTGCCGCAGCAAGGGGCGCGGCGAGGAACTGCCGGCCCTCACGAGAGGAACTGGGCGGCAGGCGGCCAGGGCGTCAGCTCAGAGGAGGCAGCGGCACCCATACCGCTACCCTTCCCTTGTTTTCCCCTTCTGGAGGGGCCTCCTCGGAGGCCCTCGTCGCCTCTGCTGGATGCGCCTCGAGGTTCTGGCCAGAACGCGCGCCAGGAAAGGCCTGGGGAGTGATTAGCAGTGTCGGTGCCTCTTGGCTTCCCCAGCGAGGGAGCGGCCCTTCTCGGAAGGCGGCGGGGCCTCTCAGAGGGCCAGAGGCCTTTGCGCCTTCTGGGGAGGAGTTTGAGGAGGAGGAGAAGGAGGAGGAGGAGGAGGAGGAGCAAGGGGGAGTGAGGAGGAGGAGCCAGGAGGAGGATGGGGGAAGGAGGAGGAGGGGGGGAGGAGGATGGACCAGGGGGCGGAGCCCCAGGGGGGAGGAGGAGCCAGGGGGAGGAGGAGGGGGAGGAGGAGGAGGAGGAGGAGGAGGAGGGAGGAGGAGGAGGAGGAGGAGCCAGGATGAGGAGGATAGGGGAGGGAGCCAGGAGGAGGAGGAGGAGGGGAGGAGTAGAGCCAGGCGGGAGGAGGAGCCAGGGGGAGGAGGAGGAGGAGGAGGAGGAGGAGGAGCCAGGAGGTTTTTTTCACAGGTTCGGGGAGGAGAGGGAGGGGAGGAGCCCAGAGAGGGAGGAGGAGGAGGGAAAGGAGAGGTAGGAAGAGGAGGAGGAGGAGGAAGAGGAGGAGGAGGAGGAGGAAGAGGAGGAGGAGGAGGAAGAGGAGGAGGAGGAGGAGGAGGAGGAGGAGGGCCCCCCTGCGGCAGCCGGGCGCGGAGCGCCTCTGCCGTCGTCCCTGTGGGACAGGGCCGAGGCGTTCCTGCAGGTGAGCCACGCGTCGTGGCCGTCGCGGCATCCTCCGGGAGGCCGTCGTGGCCGTCGTGGCCGTCGTGGCCGTCGTGGCCGTCCACGCGTCGTGGCCGTCGTGGCCGTCGTGGCATCCTCCGGGAGGAGGTCAACTATCAGGTCGGGCCTGTCCCCCCACAGAGGGGGATCTTGGACGAATAATTACATATATAATCCATAAGTGCTCCAAAAAGATTCCAAAGATGCTCAAGAGATCGTCCCAGGACTATTTTTTGGCTATTTTTGGATGTTCCTCCTGCAGAGGGACAGGCCCGACTTGAGTCTGCTACGGCAGGTCCGTGCCGCGTCTCGACCCAGGGCGCTGTTTCCCGACGCCGCGGGGGATCGTTCAGCCTTCAACGAGCGGCCGTGTCCGCAACGCCCGATCCTTCAGCATCGACCGATTCTGGGCCGCCGCCAGCGTTCCGCGTGGGACGCCGGCGGCGGGGTCGCCGCCGGTCGACACGGCACGAACCTGCCGTGCAGTCGGACCCGGGCCAGAAGAGCATCCTTCAGGAACACGGGGGCCCGCCGCCGGGCCAGAGGAGGAGCACCCGAAGGCACCCTCCCCCAGGGTGCACGAGACCAGCCCACAGGCACGGAGAACATTCGGGCACCCTCCTGCCATAGCTCGGACGTCCATTTCCCGTGCACGTGTCGGCTTCGTGCGTGTTTTTGTTGCTCGAGGGTCCAGGATGGTCCTCGATGGTTCTCGCCGAGGCACACATGCACACGTGCGAGCGATGCCAGAGCCGCCCTGGACCTGAGGAGGAGGAGGAGGAGGAGGAGGAGGAGGAGGAGGAGGAGGAGGAGGAGGAGGAGGAGGAGGAGGAGGAGAGGGGGAGGAGGAAGGAGGGGGAGGAGGGAGGAGGAGGAGGAGGAGGAGGAGGAGGAGGGGGAGGAGGAGGAGGAGGAGGAGGAGGAGGAGGAGGAGGAGGAGGAGGAGGGGAGTAAGGGGGAGGGGGAGGAGGAGGGGGAGGGGGAGGGGGAGGGGGAGGATGCATCTCGGTCCGGCCGTGCGCTCCGGCACAACCGCGGGCGACGGACACGTCCACGTCCGCGCCGTCGCGGTCTGGGCCGCGGGGGCGCGCTGCCGCGGAGGCGCGGCCGCTCCGCGCGGGGCCCTCCGCGACGGAGGCGCCCCGAAGCCATGGGGGGCCCGGCCCAGGCGCCTGGCCCGCGAGGCCGTGCTGGATGATATGTGCCACGCCCACGGCACGGTGCAGACCCTCTTTTCTTATTATTTTATATTATTTTTTTTATTTTTTGTTGAATCCATTTAAAAAAATAATAATAATAATAAAAAAGTTATATATATATATATATATATATATAATGCAGACCCTCTGTTTTGGCAGCCTTCGCCGCCGAAGGGCGAAGACTGCCAGACCCCACGTCGTGCTCCCGTCGCTGCGCGAGCGTGCTTGGGGACCATCCCGCGCGATGCGAGTCGCGATGCCGCGATTCGATTGGGAGCTGGGCTGCCAGTGCCGAGGCACCAGAAGGATCGGGGGGGCTCAGGACGGGCCGTGTCCCCCTCTCCCATTTGGAGACCACCGTGCGCTCTGGCCAGATGCCAGGTTGACATTCAGAGCAGGAGGGCTTGGGTGAGGAAGGTGGGCAGCAGCAGCAGCGTCAGCAGCATGAGGAGGTTCAAAACAATACATTAACTCATATCCTTCGAACTCGGAGCGCACGCCATCCCGCAACGGGCAGTCGAAAAAGGTGGCCTCGCAGAGTGACGGTCGGGCAGAAAAGAGCATGGCATGGTCTGAAGCTGGAGCAATCCAACGAGAATGGGTCATAGAAAAGCAAGTATTCAGGAGGGCTGGATGACTCGAACATGTGGAGTCGTATTCAGACAGGTTGGCGACCAAGGCAACAAGGAAGCGCCACAATCACTATGGATCATGCGATTACATGTCCCACCCGAAGCCGCCACAAGAACAGAATGGTAATTACACGCGGGTTCCAGAGACTCTGAAACACAGGTGTCAGACAGATGATGCTCCAAGGCCATGACTGCTTGTACTCAGGGCCCACGTTGTACGATCAGAAGAGAACGACTGGGCGGCGGGCGAATGGACAAGCAAATAGGTCCATGGTACATCCGTGCCAATCGGTAGGTACATCCGTACCAATCGATGAGACATGCGAACGGTCAACTAGATAATGGGTGGACAGGGTCCCACTCGTTTGCCAAGTCGGCCTGGATAAGTACGCTGAAGCTCATATGCGCAGAACATGGATGACTCGAAGAAACGCAAGGGCAAGATAAACATGATGATGATTTGCAGGCACAGCGTCGAGCAAGCCTCCTAATTCACCGTCTGCTGCCAATACAACATACATCAACCCACACCATGTCGCACTCGAAACAAACACGACGCGCTCCTGGCCGCCGTCGTCCCAACTCTGGCCCGATGGCACGCATCAGGCTACAAACGGACTTACTTCAGCTGGGCAGAGGAAGCCGCGTGGTGTGGACATGTTCAAGAAGGGACCGCTCCCAACCAACGGTCGCCGAGGTCATCCCTCGTGGCGCTCTACGACGAGCGCTTCCAGTTCCACCCCCTGGACATGTTCAAGAAGACGAAGCCACCTCCCCAAACAAAAAACGACTCTGTGTAGCATGGCTGACCCGTTGGGGAAAACAAACTGACAGCAAATGACAGCCCGACCTTTTCCGTTCCAGCCTCCTCCCGTGGAAGGTGCCTCGCTGCCGTTGCACGCGCGGTTGCCCACAACGGGAGGCCTGCGTATCGCATGCCGTGAGCCCGCGGAGCTGACTCCAGCATCGTAGCCTGTGAGGAGCGGGTGGGGAGGCAAGAAGGTGGGGCAAAGGAGAATCGGGCGGAGTTAGGGGTAGGTGCGCGCGTCGCATATCCCGTCTGCCCCCACGCTGATTTCGCTTGAGAGCTGCCCACTTGATGTGCGAGCTCCATCCCCACGGCACTAGATGGCAGGCGAACCGAATAACGACCCCAACGGAGCTGAGGACAAGCGCCCTGGGACTCCCACCGCGCCCTATCATGCCCAACTCGCCGATGGTTGCGCCTACACGAACGTCGCGCCCATGCGCGCAAATTGCCCACACAGTGAACCGCGGGCCGTCAGCTTTCCAGATGTGGACGTTGCGAACCCCACCTCGAAACCACGCGCTGACGACTGCCGAAGCCCGCTGTCCGTCCAAACCTAGAGGGCCCCAACTGCGCCAACTCGTTCCACTCCATTCCCTTTTGTCAAACATCGCCACTACATCATCGAACGAAGCTCATCTGAGTACGCATACGACTGCAACCCCCCACACGCCTACACCATACTGGTTGCATGCTTGTCACTGTCGCATCCTAGCTAAAACATACATCTCAACCACAACATGGAAGCGCGTGCAAGGTGCGCAGGTCTGGGTTGGCTTGGTGCGAAAGTCTGCTGAAACAATGTTTTCCTGTATTTGTTACATGACATTGATGCGCATATGGACATGGATGGGCAGTCGACCAACCATCTCGATCGCAAGGTCCGTCGTCGCGGCCGCTGCGGTCGTTGACGGCGGCGTCGATGTTGCGCGCCCTCGGCTTTGAACGCACCACATAGCTTACCAGTGGAGCTATCTTTGTGGTGCACTCTACGTGGTCAAAATTACCTTGCCGAACTTGAAACTGTCAACTCCATTGCTCGCTCAATCGTCCCACCAATCCACCCGCAACTTGGTTTCCAAAACCCATCCGGCGGCGATTGCGACGGCTGCTTGGCGCTGGCTGGCGACTCGTTGTGGCCTCGCCAGCGTGGCAAGGCTCGCGCGCAGAGCGGCCTGCCCGTCTGGCGCGACGGACGCGGCCGCGGTGGCGCTGGCCGCTGGGGGCTTCCAGGCGCGTCTCGAAGGCCACGCTGACACGCGGGCGCTTGAGTGCGAATAGATGACTCGGGCGGGCGCGAGATCATGGCGACGTCGACAACGGCAGGCACGATGATGATTGTAGCGATGCTGGGGACGACGATTTCGATGACGACGGTAAGGCCCGTGACGGCGCCGATGCTGAACACGCCGGTGCCGATGGTGGTGTCCACGCAACGGCGATGAAGTTTGTGCGCGGATTCCGACATGCGCGCAGCAGACGGGCGCGAGTGGCCCGCGCGGAATTATTTGACAGGCGTCGCGCCCATCCACCCCCTCAGCGCGCTCGCAAGGGCGTTCGGACGATTTCGGCATGCGCGCGCGAGGCCCGTGTGGTCGAATTTGATGATGGCGTTGAACAACCAGCGGTTCCAAAGACTTCGCAAGAGCGCGCCCGCGAACCTCTCTCGAAACAACATGTTGCAGAACCGATACTTTTTATGTTTTCGGGACAATCGATTTTGAAATCCGCGCGGCACATATGTTTTGCAGGATTTCGGCGCGCGCGCGACGACGCGCGCGTGTGGAAATTGTTTTATATTGCAATGGATTTCTGCAGACGCTTGATGTTTTGATAAACAGATGCGTGCGACTACCATCTGGAGCAGAATCATTTATTACTTGCACGACAAAAAGGCGGAGGATAATCCCGGGTGGGGGCGGGTGGTGGTAGATCCGAATGGTCTCTTAGGAAGACGAGCCGATGTGTTGCAATTTATGGTGTCTTATCTGTGTCGCGCCTCCTGAGGGGTTTTCGGTGTCTTCGGCGTAGGTTTAGAAAACTTCTCAGAAGGCCGGGGGGCTTCCGAGCATTCTGAGGAGGCCCACCCCTTCTCACTTCCCCCCAGACTCGCCGCCGAGGAGCTGTTCGCAAAAGCGAGAACGGGGAACACGAGGGTTTGAGGCCCCTCCGGGGCCTATGATCTGGCCCAAACCGTCGCCATCCCCCCAAAACGCCCACCACGGTTTCCGCTTCGTGATGTCAAGCGGCGAATACTTCGGCCATCGCACACTCATGCTCTGCGTGGAGAGTTGATGACAAAGTGTGCCGCCCACACCCAATAAGTGAGACCCTTCGAATGCCGAGAAGCGTTCGAGAACAATTTGAGCCGACGAGCAGCCAGCTGAATCTGCGAATGGGGAACCCAGAAGGTACCGATACCGCTACACCCCAGATCTCTTCCTGCGTGCGTGTTGACCAGAATTTAGAGGCGAATCCAGCGGTGGCGACGAGGGCCTCCCAGGAGGCTCACAAAAGGGAAAGCAGGGAAGGGTAGCGGTATCGGTACCTCTTCCTCCTCTGAGGTAAAAGGGAGGCAGCAGAGATCAAGTAAGCCCATGCGGCCTAACTGCTGGCACACAGCCGTAGGTCCTCAGCCGCCAGGGTGCGATGGCGGAGGGGGGAGCCCAGTACCACTACGGGCGCTGCATGGCGCCCTCCCTCCTCTTACTGCTTCTCGGAATCGAAGACGAAGCCACGGCCTTGTCAAAGCTTTCCAGAACGCTCTGAGAGCTTTCTGGTACGCTCTGGAACGGATTTATCCTCGTTCTAGCTTCTGGCCCCATCCGAGTATCACCTTTCTTCGCACCCCACGTCGAATTCGAACTCGCGATCCTCATTCTTGCAATTCTCCTCCCCCCCACCCGTAGTTCGACCTCGTCCTGCTGCTATTAGGCGTTGCGCGCAGTGGTCAAAAAGGTCATACGCTGCTCGACAACAGAGAGACAGACAGACAGACAGACAGACAGACAGACAGACAGACAGACAGACAGACAGACAGACAGACAGACAGACAGACAGACAGGCAGGCAGGCAGACAGACAGACAGACAGACAGACAGCAAACAAGTGAATGTTACGCCCGCATCCACGCTGGCTTGCTCAGCCAGGGCGGCTCAGGAGCCGAGAACGTCCAGAACCTGTCCCCGAACAACAACAAAAAACTGCAAGTCGCCAATCTCCAGACTAGTGTGTCACGAACACAGCTGCTACATTATGTCATACCTTCCTGCTTGGAGGCGGCCAGGGTGGGTCTGAACTGGATGCCAGGGTGGGTCTGAGCTGGATGGGCGCGGGAAAATATGTGAGAGGGGGAATATAAGGGCAAACCCGCTCAAAATCGATCCCCGGACCCCCCCCTCCCAGGGTCCATCTGGTGTACTGCTTCACGGCGAATCCGTTCTAAACGGCCCCCAGGCCCGAAAACGGTCCCCAGAGATCGTTCGGGGGCACCGGCACGAAGAGCCCCGCATCCGCGGGGCCACCACACCACGAAGCGCCCCGCGTCCGCGGGGTCGCGGCCTGCTGGGGCTCGGCCCACGCGGCCGCCGACACGGAGAGAGCTCTCGCCCGCGAGCAGCTCTCCTCCTCCTCCTCCTCCTCCTCCCCCTCCTTCTCCCCCTCCTCATCCTCCTCCTCCTCCTCCTCCTCCTCCTCCTCCTCCTCCTCCTCCTCCTCCTCCTCCTCCTCCTCCTCCTCCTCCTCCTCGTGCCGCATCACCGATGCATCGGCGATGCGGCCCCGTGCGGAGCCCGAGGTCCCCGCGGACCGCCTCGGTGGGCCAGCCCCGAGCCGTGGCCCCGAGGCCGCGAGCCACCCGCCCCTGGCCCCACCGCGGCGGTCCGCGCGGACCTCGGCTCCGCCACGGGGCCTCCCCCGCATCGCCGATGCATCGTTGTGCGCCTGGAGGATGAGGATGAGGAGGAGGAGGGGAGGAGGAGGAAGGAGGATGATGAGGAAGGAGGGGGAGAGGAGGATGAGGAGGAGGAGGAGGAGGAGGAGGAAGAAGAGGAGGAAGAGGAGGAGGAGGAGGAGGAGGAGGCGGAGGAGGAGGAGGAGGAGGAAGAGGAGGAGAAGGCCGCGCGCTCGGCCCCCATGTGGGAGGCCTGGATTCTTTCCGACCCCCATGCCGGTCGTGCCCATGCGCCCAGCGAGGCGAGCGACGTGCTCCGGGAGGTCGCTTCGGCGGCGGCCGAGGGGGGGGAAGTGAGGAGGAGAAGGCCTTCTCAGAATGGTGCTGGACTTCTCGGAAGCCCTCGCGCCTCTTGAGAAATTCTCCGCGCCTTCGGGGAAGGCTTAGAACAATTCTCGAAAGGCCGGGGGGCTTCCGAGCCTTCTGAGAAGGCCCGCCCCTTCTCACTCGCCCCCCTCGCTCGCCGTCGACTCGAAAGGCCCCCAAGAGGCCCCGACGAGGGCCAAGAGGGCTCCCCGGGGAGGCCTCCAAGGAATGGGCCCCAGGAGGACCTCGAGAGTTCTCCTCATCCTCCTCCTCCTC